TCAAATTAGTGTTTTTGTTTTCCTCAGGTAAATACCCAGAAGTGAAATTTCTGGATCATATGGTAGTTCTATTTTTAATTTTTTGAGGAACCTCCATATTGTTTTCCATGGTGGCTGCCATCAATTTATAATCCCACCAACAGTGCACAGGGTTCCCTTTCCTCTACATCCTCTCCAACATTTGTTATTTGTTGTCTTCTTTGATGATAGCCATTCTGACAGGTGTGAGGTGGTAGCTCATTGTAGTTTTGATTTGCATTTCCCTAATGATTAGTGATGTTGTGCATCTTTTCATGTGTCTGTTGGCTATCTGTGTGTCTTCTGTGGAAAAAATGTCTATTCAAGTCCTCTGCCCATTTTTTAATTTGGTTGTTCTTTTTCTTTGATGTTTGTTGGAGTTCTTTATCTATTTTGGATATTAACCCCTTGTTGGATTATCATTTACAAATGTCTTCTCCCATTCAGTGAACTGTCTTTTCATTTTGTTGATAGCTTCCTTTGGCGTGCTAAAGTTTGATGTGGTCCCATTTATTTTTGCTTTTGTTTCCCTTGCCTGAGGAGACAGATCCAAAAATATATGCTAAGACCAACGTCAAGGAGCATACTGCCTCTGTTTTCTTTTAGAAGTTTTATGGTTTCAGGTCTTACATTTAAGTCTTTAATCCATTTTGAGTTTATTTTTGTATATGGTGTGAGAAAGTAGTCCAGTTTGATTCTTTTGCATATAGCTGTCCAGTTTTCCCAACATCATTTATTGAAGAGGCTATTTTTCCCCATTGTATATTCTTGCCTCCTTTGTCATAGATTAATTGACCTTATAAGCATGGGTCACCAGGGCTATATGCTCTAGGAGTGCCCCCTCTGTGGGTTGTGTGAGCCCTCCTGTTGTAGTTGACTACTCTGGGCATGCTGGTAGGCGGGGCAGCCCCGGGGGGGTGTTGAGTGGGGCCATGGCTTGTGCCATCCTGCTGGTGGTTGGGGCTGGGTCACTACAGGATTGGCTGCTTGGTGTTGGGGGTGTCCCAGGACCTGTGCTGCTCAGCTGGTGGGTGGGTAAGCCCCTGGAGCTAATAGGCTAGAGGAAGGACTCCAAATTAGCATTTGTCAACACCAGTGTCCTCCTGGTAGGAGTTCCTCAAAATGGCTGCCACCAGCATCTGTGTCCCCAAGAGAGTCCCAGTTGCCTCCTGCCTTTCTAGGAGGTTCTTCAAAATTAGCAAGTGGGTCTGACCCAGTCTCCTTTAAAACTACTACCTACCTCTGTGCTGGAACTCAGAGTATGTGACATTTTGCATGTGCCCTTAAGAGTGGAATCTCTTGTTTCCTGTAGTCCTCTGGCTCTCCTGCACATAAGCCCTGCTGCTTTTCAAAGCCAGATGTTCTGGGGGCTCATCTTCCCAGCGCAGGACCCCCAGGCTGGGAAGCCCAGTGTGGGGGGCTCAGATGCCTTGTTCTTGGGGAGGACCTCTGTGGTTATGATTATCCTTCCTCTTAGTGGGTCACCGACCTGAGGGGGGTGCTTCATGACTATATCACATCTCCACCCCTCCTACCTGACTCGTTGTGGCTTCTTCTTTATGTCTTTAGCTGTGGAAAATCTTTTCTGCTAGTCTTCAGGTCATTCTGTTAGGTAGTTTCTCTGTAAGTTGTACTTTTGGTGTGTCCACGAGAGGAGGTAAGTTCAGGGTCTTCCTACTCCACCATCTTGGCCACCCACCAAAGGCATAAGAATTTTAAAGAAAAACACAAAACTGTCATTATTCACAAATTAGATCTTCTACAAAGAAAATCCAAAATAACACAAAGTATTAAAAATAATAAGAAACCACAACGTGGTATCGCCTCACACTGGTCAGAATGGCTATCATCAAAAAGACTACAGATAATAAATGCTGGAGATGGTGTGGAGAAAAGGGAACCTTCCTGCACTGTTGGTGGGAATGTAAATTGGTGCAGCCATTATAGAGAACAGTATGGAGGTTCCTTAAAAATCTAAAAATAGTTAACCATATGATCCTGTAATCCCACTCCTGGGCATATATCTGGAAAAGACAAAAACCCTAATTCAAAAAGATACATGCACCCCAGTGTTCATATCACCACTATTTACAATAAGCAAGACATGGAAACAAGTACCCATCAACAGATGATTGGCTTAGATGTGGTATATGTATATATATATATATATATATATGTATATGTGTATATATATATATATATATATCTCAATACAATGGAATATTACTCAGCCATAAAAAAGAATGAAATATTGCCTTTTGCAGCATGGATGGACCTAGAGAATATTATACTTAGTGAAGACAGAGAAAGACAAATATTATATGATACCACTTATATGTAGAATCTAAAAAATAATACAAATGAATCTATTTACAAAACAGAGACAGATTTACAGACATAGAAAGCAAACTATGGTTACCAAAGTGGAAGGGAGGGGGGAAGGATCAATTAGGAAAAAGGGATTAATAGATACAAACTACTATACATAAAGTAGATAAGCAACAAAGATTTACTGTATAGCACAAGGAACTGTATTCAGTATCTTATAATAACCTATAATGGAAAATCTGAAATATATATAAATATATATTTAGAAATATATTTATAAATTAATATATGTATATATACTTTATATATATATAAATAAAGCTGAACCACTTTGCTGTATACCTGAAACTAACACAATATGGTAAATCAACTATACTTCAATAAAATTGAAAAAAATAGGGAATTCCCTGGCAGTCCAGTGGCTAGGACTATGCACTCTCACTGCCGAGGGCCCAGATTCAATCCCTGGTCGGGGAACTAAGTAAGATCCCACAAGCTGCATGGTGCAGCCAAAAAAAAAAAAAACAGAGAGAGAGAAAAAAATAAGATACTGGCAAAGCTAGCTGTAACAGCAATATACCGAAGTCAGTTGATTTTGTACACTCCAGTAACAAAGAGTTAGAAATTATAATTTTAAAAACATAATTTACCTTGTTAAAAATAACTATAAAGTATCTAGAAATAAATCTAACAGAAGATATGTAAGACCTATTTGGAGAATATTTTAATACTTTTCGAAAGACACTAAAGAGTCCCTAAATAAATGGAGAAATATCCCGTGTTCCCAGGCAGGAGGTTAGTCTCAGTTTCATAAGTATGTCAAGTCCCCCCCAAATTGATCTATAAATTTAGTGCTATTCCATCGGATTATTTTTTCTGGAACTGACAAACTGATTCTAAAATTTATATGGAAGCACATAATTATCAAGAATAGTTAAGACACCTCTGAAGAAAAAGAATAAGGGGCTGAAGAGAGAATGAGGACGTGTCCTACAAATATCAAGAATTGTTATAAAGTATAACCATGTAGTATTGGTATAGATATAGACAAACTGACCAGCAAGTCATAATACAAAGTCAAGAAACAGCCCTAGACGTATAAAATTTTGATATACAACAGATGTGCTGTGCAGATCATCAAGGAAGGAAGAGCCATTCAGTAAATAGTATTGAGACAATTGATTATATATGGGAAAAAAATGACATTATATCCCTAACTCATACCATATAAAAATAAATTTCAGGTATATCAAATACTTAAATGTGAAAGGCGAAACTTTTAGAAGAACTTATAGAAAGTATCTGTTTGACTTTGGGATAAGGAAGGATTTTTTGGATAGGACACAGAAATGGTAGCCATAAAAGAAAGATTAATAAACCTAACTACATTAAAATTAAGAACTTTTGTTCATCAAGAGACAGCCCCCCAAAATGAAAAAACAATCCAAAAACTGGGTGAAGGTATTTGCAATGGTATAATCAACAAGGGATTAGTATTCAACATATATAGAAAGAAGTAATACAAATAAATAAGAGAAAGACAATCCAGTAGAAAAATGGGCAAAAATATGAACAGGTATTTCACAGAAGAGGATGCATGAATGAACCATAGGTTTATGAAATGTTGTTGAACATAATTAGTAATAAGGGAAGTGCAAAATAAAACCACAGCGAATTGTCATTTTCTGTCATTAGACTGACAAAAACTAAGAAATTTAGGGATTTCCCTGGCGGTCCAGTGGTTAAGACTATGCACTTCCACTGTAGGGGACACAGGTTCAATCCCTGGTCAGGAAACTAAGATTCCGCATGCCACGTGGTGAGGCCAAAAAAAAAAAATTTTTAATAGTACCAAAATTTGGAGAGGATGTGGCTCAGTGGGAATTCTTGCACATCACTGCTGGAACTGTTAATAGTTTAAATAAATATTTAATATTCAGTAAATATTAGTAAATATTTATTAATAAATAAATAATAAATACTACTTTAGGATAGTTTGAAATTATCCTACAGGGTGGAACATTTGCATATTTTACAATCCAGGGTTTCCCTCCTGGATATAATACCTTAGAAAGCTTTTGCCTGTGTGTACAAGGAGATATGTAGAAAAAGCTCATAGTGACCATGTTTGTAACAACAAAAGCTGGAAATAATCCAGACGTCCAGCAATACAATAAAGAGTAAATAAAATTGTAGTATATCAACACTCTGGAACGTTATTCAGCAGTAGAAATGAGAAAAAAATTGCTACATGCAGCTGCATGGATGAATTTTAGGACCATAAAGTTAAGTGAAAAAAGTAGCCCTAGAATACTGCATTATGGTAAAATTCCATTCATTTAAAGTTCAAAAACAAAGAAATTCAAACAGTATACTATTTGGGCAAGAACACATAAGTGATAAAAAAAACCCTCTTTTTTAAATTAAGTATATGATGAAACACAAAATTTAAGGTATGGTTAACCTTTAGTTGGCGAGATAAGTGGATGTGATAATGTCGGAATAGGTAGAAGAAAGCTATTGATAATGATCTAGTTGTTAGGTTTAGTGGTGGGCTCAAAAGTGTTCAATCTATTTTTTGCTGTGTGATTTATATGCATATATTATTTTATATGTATTAAATATCATACTAAAGTAATATATTTGTTTTTCAGAAATCTGCCTGAACCTTCGAAATCCTCCAACTAATATAATTATCATTCCAGAAAAGCAGGTGAAACCAGAATGGAGATTGCCAAAATTAAACCACCGTTTTGTCACAAGGTAAAATAGCTTCTTGTAAAATATCTCAAATATTAATTTTTAATGTTAGTTACTGAAACAATGTATTGTAATTTGCTTGGAATCTACCCAGAATTATGCTGTAACAGTTAGATAGATGTGCATTTTCACAGTCATATTTGCAGAACGCTTTTTCACTGTTTAAAAATACAATATCTATTTAATAATTTTGCTTTTTTTAGATCCGAACTGGATGATATGCCAGAAAATAGTATCTGTGATGTTATTGGCATTTTAGTTTTTGTAGGAAGAGTCCAGCGGTCAAAAAAGAAGGGTAAGATTTTGATATTGAAAGTCATAAAAAGTATTTCAGTGAATAATTCTGTGTTCATATGTGCATAATCAGTTACCTTCATTTATTCTAACATTCTATCCATATAGAAAGCCGTGAAGATTTTTGGTCATATCGCTGGATTCACATTGCTGATGGGACTTCCAAAAAACCATTTATAGTGGAACTGTTTTCTACATCTCAGCCAGAAGTCTTTGAAAATATTTACCCAAGTACTCAGTTTCAATATTTTTATCATTTTATTTTTGGAAGTGGGGGCATTGACTTAAAAAAATGATAGAGGTATACTGACTTACTTACAGAATGCCATGATATTGAGTTAGCAAATTCAAGCAGTCTGATAGCATGTTTAAGTTTTTTCTATATTAATATTATAATTGGTATTAACAGATATTAACCACCTTCTGGTTTTCTATTCAGAATTAATTTGGGATTTAAACTAGTTTTTCAGAAAACAGGTGCTCTTATCAATTCCCATTTTTAGCATTTTAGACATAAAACCTTAAAATTCGGTGAAACTAAAACATAGATAGTCCGTTTCCTTTGTATCCATTTGGAAATTGACTTAGTAGACCCCATTAAACACAATGAAGGCTTTACTAATGTAGAATTAAGTAGTAGAGGATTGGGATACTGTGTAATTAAATAATGGCAGTGGTAAGTATGATGTCATTTGAGTATGGAATTAATATTAGGTTGGTGGTGTTAAACCAGCTGGTCAATATTTTACTTAATTTGGTGTTGATTTTTTCCACTACTTTTATTTATTTGAAGACATTTTAAGTATGTCCTATTATGTGTTTTATATAACAAGTTAGTCTTTAGATCTACTATGATAAGGATAAAAGTATATCTAATACTTTTTAACAACTTCAGTGAATTTTTCCTTATTTGAATTTGTAACATAAAGCTATTTTAGGTATTGGTGTGCTATTTTCCTATTTTCCAAATGATTATGTGAATAAAATACTGATTGTTAAGTGCTTGCCAACATTGGAGAAATTCCCAATCTTGACTACATGTATTTTTTTTAATGAGCAACAAGATAGAAATTGTAGAATATCAGGAGACCTAGAGACCATATACAGGGCTGTTCTGCTACCCCTTTATTTTCTGTTGTAAAACAGTATTACACACCATTCGGATATTACCTCATTAGAATCCACCCTCTGCTTGTGAGATTAAATTTTTTAAATATATATGAGTAGAACTGAACATCACTCAAAATGTCATTGGAGGAGAGGGCAGAAAGAGAGTTTTGGTCAAAACCAAGGCATGGGCTTCCAAGGTAAGGGGGGCCATGACCTTTCATATAACTTCTCTCAGGTTACAGATGATTGGTAGTGATGATCCCTGATAACAATTTAGATGGGCTTTAGGGCCAGGTCCCTCTCTCTTTGTAGCCACTTTAAACAACAAACTGACACAGGTTTTGGATAACGATTTTTCACAGAAATGTTGCCATCCATGCACATTCTATTGTGAAAATGTGAAATATATCTTTTAAGAAAGGTTTGTATGGACCTTGGTGAGATTTACTCTAGTACAATAGTTGACAACAATCACAATTCATTTTCATCTTTTGACCAAGAGTGAAGGAAAAAAATCATAAAATAAATGGTGAGTATTAAGGGGGCTTCAGGCCTATGAAGGGGAACATGACCAAGGGTCTTCTGGAATAATACCAAAATCCTTTGGTAGTAGGGCATCTTGTTTATTTTTGACTAAGAAAAGTGAAGAACTAAGGGGAAGTAATTTTGAACGTTTACTATATACCAGTTGCTCATAGATATTATCTCATTTTGTACTCCCAGTTACCTTTTAAACAGGTGATGTTTTTACAAATTTACGGGTGAGGAAACAAAGGTCCAGAGGGTTGTCAAACAGCCAGAAGGTGGTAGGTCCAAATATCTGATTTTTAACAACCATGAAATTAGAATTAGAAGTATTCTTATATCAACGTCTTTAATCATGAATACTTTGTACAGTTTTTGAATTAAAGGAAAAGTGATATAAATCAAGAGAATTATTCTTGGTCATTTGAACAGATTTTCTTTATTTTCATTGCTACAAAATAAAGAACTAGTAAATGTGAGATACAGGAAACGAATTTATAGATATTATCATGCTCTAGGGAAATATTTATTCTCAAATGAGAGCTTACTGTTGACATGAAATTACGAGTATTTATATTTATTTCTTTATTTCCTAATTTTTTTTTTTTTTTTTTTTTTTTTTTTTTTGCGGTACACGGGCCTCTCACTGTTGTGGCCTCTCCTGTTGTGGAGCACAGGCTCCGGACGCGCAGGCTCAGCGGCCATGGCCCACGGGCCCAGCCGCTCCACGGCATGTGGGATCTTCCCGGACCGGGGCACGAACCCGTGTCCTCTGCATCGGCAGGCTGACTCTCAACCACTGTGCCACCAGGAAAGCCCTATTTCCTAATTTGAAGACCGTAAATGTTTTGGCGTGCAGTGAGTTAAAATTTTTAAAATATTGTTGGATAAGTAAACTTTACCTAAATAACCTGATAGTTGAAAGCAGTTGATAGCTTTTGAAAGTAGCTGGTCTGAAGACATTATAATCTCATTTTCAGGAATTCTTTTTAGTCTATCCAGTTGGTTAGCAAGGCAAACAGAAAATAATAGGTGGTATAAGCCCTGTCCTTGAGACTTAAAGTCTAATTAAGATATACACAAGTAAAACACTCGCATAAGCAAATTCAAATTAATATTGTGTAGCCCTATCTGATGGAAGGAGTCAGAGTAATTCAGGGATCAATGTTAGATTGGGTTAATCAGTGGAAGCATCATGGAGGAACTCAACTTTTTTCTCTGTAGGAAATAACTATTCACATTCCGTTGTGTGGCCAATTAGAAAGACTCTTGCAGTCTTCAACTGTCCAGCAAGCAGTGACTTCAGTTAGGTGCGGCCGTTGTACTTTCTAAAGGAAAAGTTAAGTGTTAGATCCTTTATTTAAAGGAAATGATTAAGTGTTAGATCTTTGTTGCTCCAAGTGTGGTCAAAGGACTGGCAGCACTAGTATCACCCAGGAGCTCATTAGCGGTGGAAAATCTCAGGCCCTACACTAAAACTACTTTAATCTGAATTTGCATTTTAACAATTGTCCTAGGTGATTCCTCAGTTCATTAAACTTTGAGAAGCACTCTGTTAGATCCTGATCTTGGTATTCCCATTTGAAATGCAGAAATAATTTCATAAGTGTTTTCATTTTCTACAGTGGCACACTTCACGTGTACACAGTTGAAAGTTGTCAGAAATGACACTCAAGTACCTGAACTGCTTTACCTTACTACTACAAATGAGAGTCGCATGTTTATTACTGGTGAGCAAGTTCTTTGTATATACTTTATTGGAAATCTAATGTATTTTCTCTTCATTAAATTAACTTTTCTATTATAAGATTCAACCACAAGATAGCTTTATTTTGAACTCCTTTCTCACTATAAGAATGGTTTAAGAAAGAATATTTAGCCTATGAAATCTATTGCTTCCAGATTATTTACAGTTAGAGCAATGATTTTGTGACTTACTGAAGAATTTTGTTTATGTCCTTTGGTTAACTTTAATTCCTGCTTGACATAAGAAGTTAGATAACCATAAATTGCTTCATAGATTGAAGACTGTTGGGCCCTGTATCACAATATGGATTCAATTAACAACAGTTTTTAAATATTAAATAAAACAAAAATGTGCATTCAATTTTGGTCCCCAGATCTCGCATTTTACTTATATAGCAAGAAAATTCTCACTACTTATCTACAAATACACTATTTTTCTCTATTCCCTTGGATAAGGGGGACAAAATAATAAAGATAAAAGTTTTCAGATGAGTGAGGGAGTACTATGGAATGATGTATTTACTAGAATGCTACCATGTTGGTAATTAGGAAATTCGTCAAAAGAAGAGTCCTAGGGCTTCCCTGGTGGCGCAGTGGTTGAGAGTCCGCCTGCCGATGCAGGGGACACAGGTTTGTGCCCCAGTCTGGGGGGATCCCACGTGCCGCGGAGCGGCTGGGCCCTTGAGCAGCTGGGCCCGTGGGCCATGGCCGCTGAGCCTGCGCGTCCGGAGCCTGTTGCTCCGCAACAGGAGAGGCCACAGCAGTGAGAGGCCCGCGTATCGCAAAAAGAAAGAAGAGTCCTAGGAAGGATGTAACACATATCTTTGTCCATACCTCATTTTATAAATATGAATACTATCAGATCTAATATATACTAATAATAACAGATGTGAATGACACTTTTAAGTATGTTTCAAAAACATGAACTTAAATGTTGAGCTATATTCATAGGCAATTTAGTTAATACATGATGTCATACCTTCAGGTTAAAACATAATCAATTTTCTAAGAAGATGCTAACCAGTTGGATAGTTAGCAAAAGCCAGACTATTAGTTTTCTTTTTCTTCTGGCTTTTCAGTGTCCTGTAGACAGTTACAGTTTAGTCCACGTAAACTAATATGTCTGATTTCCTTATTGACTTAGGATTCGTTAACTGATAATTTTCATATGCATATTCAGTATAATTATCTGCTACATAGTGAATAAGTTAACTTCTTGGTGCTATAAGAATGATTTTATATTAAACTGTTTTTATACCCAAAAAAGTCCAGATGGTTTATTACAGTGAGTTGTCTTTTTTTTTTTTATTCCTCATATTTTTGCACTTTACCCTTCCTGCAAGAAGGTCATAGAGGCCAGCCGTATACCAACGATACCAAGGTAAAAAACTTTATTCAGTGGATTAAAACAAAGACCAGTTCTGGGGAATTGAAGAACACTGTTATTGGTGGATATTACCCCTATCCACCAGTGCCAGAAACATTTTCGAAGTATAATATTTCTGTTAAAGGTACTGATGTAATTGCTAGTCCCTTATATGTTTATATGTGATATGTATGGTATATGCCATATCAGTTAGTCATCTTTAATGGGAGTGAGCCAAAGTGTAGCAACACTCACTGGTAATAATTTGATCTTTATCAAGATCTAAAAACATATGTCATGACCATAAAGGTTAATATTTTGATTTTATTAGACTGCAAGAAAAGAAGGAGTCTAAATAGACTATGACTAAATGGAGGTAATATCTTGATTTAAGGTCATTGAGATCAAACCTGAGTTGGTAGATCCCAACTCCTATAACACTACTTAGACTAAAGATATCAGAGGAGACACTGGACAATTTGATACCAAGGTACTGACAACTGTATTAGACCACTCTTGTGGAATGATATATAGACATCTCTTGGTGTCCGCAGGGCATTGGTTCAAGGAGCCCCCATGGATACCAAAATCTGCAGATGCTCGAGTCCCTTATATAAAATGGCTCAGTACAATGAATACAGTAGGCCCTTTATATCTGCAGGTTTGCAAAACCTGTGGATATGGAGAGCCAACTGTGTATTGGATATAACACAATTGAGCTCTACCTTTAAATAAAAATGATACCAAAATCAATGAGATTCAGAATAAGTATTAATGAGAGGCCTAACATTATTTTAGTAGAATTAAGATATGACAGTTGAAAACTTTAACATAAGTATATTATTTTTGAAAAGCTATGGAATAATGCATGGTTTTGGAAAAAAGAGAAACTTTGAACTACTGATCTATCATCATCTAAATATTGACACCCTCCTGTACTTCATAATGCCAGCAATATGTAGTATATGCTGTAAATAGCATATAGAATACAGAAAATATTAAACAAAATATGTGTTTCTATGCAGTGGCTAGGCAACACTTTATAGTTTGAAGTATGATATATAAATTACGTTCAATTTGTAAAATTTCTGTTTCAAATTATGATGTCAGACTAGAAGGCTGTATCACAATTTAACTGACAAATGTGTTTTGCCAATTTTACCGAAATTACATAAGGGGTTGCCAAATATAAACACAAAATCTCACATATTTAAGTTATGTAGCAAGTTTATAATTTTCATGTTGTGAAATTACATTGCAAATCTAATTGTTATTTTTGTCATTTCAGTTCTTTAAAACTTACAGTTTCCTTGAAATTACTCTTTTGCAGTTGAGTTGTTCTTCACAGCTATAAGTGAAGTGAGGAAGGAGATTGAAGACTTGCAGTATAGGGAACAAAAGCGCATTGCAATTCAGGGGATAATTACTGTTATAAAGTATGTCCCCTATAGCGGTGCAACTGAAAGTGCCTCAGCATCTGAAACACTACGGGTATGGTGCCAGAGAATTAATAGTATATCTCTGAAAGCACTGTGTTTATAATCACAACTGGTATCTTGTAAATATCATTCAGAACTCACATGTATTAACTCTTAATGATGTAAACCTAAAAGGAAAAAAATGATTTTTAGTTTGTTTCCTTTTTATGTCATTTATTTTGGAGCAGTCTGGGCTGCCCTCAAAACTTGGTATCTTGTTTTTGTTTTCTGTGTAATATGAGCCTATCATGATTGTCTTTATTTAAATTTCCAGGTGGTATATATGATTATGATTTTTTCCTTCCTTTTGTCTAGGCCAAAGTTATAGGCACACTCCCACCAGAAGTTTTTAGCTCTATTGTCAGTTTGACAGTTCTACCCAGGTTCTATAAGAGGTAGCAATGACTCTTGTAGGATAAATGCTACAGAAGAGGCCACTTCAAGAATCTAGGCAAAATCAAGACAAATAAGTTAATTTTTTCCATGAGCTTATCTTTTTAAAAGTTATTTCTAAGATTACTGTTCTTACGGAAATAAGCATCTAATCCAACTTTACAGTTATATTAATATAAGAAGGACTTTTATCTTATTAAAATATTTTAATAGCAGATGGATTAAGATAAATCAACTTTATAAAAGCATTGTTACGATTGCAAAGTTTTGTCACAACTCTTAAGTTATGAAAAATGGGTAAACTAAAATTATAGAGTCTTTTAAGAGAGAAATAATTTTTGTGAATCAGTTTTAAACGTTTTCTTCAAATTTTTGGTTTTAGAATGCTAACCGACGCTCAACATCCCAAGCAGCTAGAAGAGAAAGTCAAAGTCAAGAAAGAGATGGAGAACCTAGAGATAATGGTCCTGTGAGTTCTCAGTGTTGTCATACTACATCTGCAAGTTTGAGCCCTCCCAAGAAAAAAAGAGCTCTACAAGGGCCATGTGCCAAACAGTAAGTCATTTGTATTAAGTATATACATGGCATATACTTTTTCATTTGTTTCTATCCTGTAAAATGAGCAATTCTACTAGAAGTTGTATTAGTTTTCTAGGGCTGCCAAAGTCCAAGACCAAGATATAGGCAGGGTGGGTTCCCTCTGAGTGCTATGAGGAAGAATCTGTTCCATGCATTTCCCCTAGCTTCTAGTGGTTTAGTGGCAATCTTTAGCATTCCTTGGCTAATGGAAGTATCACCCCAATCTCTGCCTTCATCTTCACATGGCATTCTCCCTGTGTGTGTACGTGTCCAAATTTTTCTTTAAGGACACCAGCCATACTGGATTAGGGACCCACTCTGGAGTACTGGTCTACTTTAGTATGAACTCATCTAAACCAAATAAAGTCATATTCTTAGGGTCACTGAAGATGTAATTGGTTACATATTGGTAGTCACAGTGATATTTGGTGGGGACATAATTCAATCCATAACAATCTACCCTCTAAAAATTCATGTCCTTCTCACATGTAAAATACATTCATCCCATCACAACATCCCCAGAAGTCTTAATCTACACCAACATCAACTCTTAAGTCCTAAATATCATATAAATCATGTATGGATGGGATGCAGGGTAATTGATCCTGGGGCAAAATCTTTTCCATCTGTGAACCTATGAAACTAGACATGTTTCATTCTATCCAAAATACAATGGTGGGACAGACAGAGGACAGGTATTCCCATTTCAAAAGGGAGAAACTGGAAATAAGGGGGTTATGGGTCATACAAACCTTGTTGAAACCTAATGAGGCAAATTCCATTTGGCATTAAGGCCCCAGAATTATCCTCCCTGGCAGAATACTGTGTCCTCTGGGCCCACTGGAATGGCAGCCCCACCCCCATGGCACTGAGTGGTGGTCTTGCACTCTGGAACTGGGAAGGTGGCCCTGGCTTCTAGAATTGAGGAGCTGTCCCTGCCCTCTAGAACTGAGGAAATGGCCTCACCCTCAGAGTCATTTTTCCCTTTTCTTGAAGGATAATACTTGATCACAGCTGGATATCTCTAGCAGCTCATTTCCTGACTGTAGAATCCCAGAAATTCGATGGAATTGCATTCCTTCGTTTCTTCCCACCCGTGTTTCTTTCAGTCAGAGCTAACAGCATGCCTGCTGAGATGGTTGACTGGATCCACAAATCACAGTCTCTTGGGCAAATGGTTATCTAGCAATGCCCTTAGTGTTCTTTCCAAAGCAAGCTTTCTTATGTTTTGCAACATGGATGGGCTTAGAATTTTCCAAGTATTGAAATTCTGGTTCTTTTTTTCTTAACAATTCCCTTTTCAACTTTTCTCTCCCCTCTCATATGTTACTATAAGCAGCAAGGAGAAACCAGGCTGTGCCTTCAATACTTTGCTTAGAAATCCAGTTTCCAATAACACATTCCTTATTTCTGTCTGAGACCTCACCAGAAGCACCTTTTACATTCATATATCTAGTTCTGTTCATGACGATGAGTGTATTCTCTAAGACTGCAGAAACTTTCTCTACAGCTCTTTTCTTTCTGAGCCCTCAACAGATTCTCCTTCAAAATCCATATTTCTACCAACATTCTCTTCAAGGCTATCTAGGTTTTTTCTGTTACGCACCTCAAAACTCTTCCAGCCTGCACTTAATACCCAATTCCAAGCCACTTCCACGTTTTTATGTATTTGTTACAGCAGCACACCACTTCCTGGTACCAAAATCTATTAATTTTCTAGGGCTGGTATAACAAAGTACCAGAAACTGTTTGGCTTATACTATAGAAATTTGTCTCACAGCTTTGTAAGCCCAAAATCAAGATGTCAGCAGGGTGGATTCCTTTTGAGGGCTGTGAGGAAGAATCTGCCCCATGCCTCACCCTTAGCATCTGGTGGTTTGCTAGCCATCTTTGGCTTTCCTTGGCTTGTAGAAACATCACTCCAATCTGTATCTGTGTCCAAATTTCCCCTTTTGATAAGGACATCAGTCATGTTGGACTAGGGGCCCACCCTAATCCAACATGACCTCATCTTAACTAATTACATCTTCAGTGACCCTATATCTAAATAAGGTCACATTCCGAGTTACTGGTGGTTAGGACTTCAACATGAATTTTGAGGAGACACAGTTCAACCCATAACAGAAGCTCTCTTATCTGCCATGCTCAGCATGGACTAATTGAATGTGAGTTTAAAATGGGGAATTACAAAAAAATAAACATTCTTTGCCTCTCTTTTTTTTTATTCTACGGATAAGAGAGATCATACAGTATTTATCTTTATTTATTCCACTTAGCATAATAACCTCAGGGTCCATCCATGTTGTCACAAATGACAAGATTTCATCTTTTATATGGCTGAGGAGTATTCCACTGTATATATCACATCTTTATCCATCCATCTGTTGATGGGCACTCAGGTTGTTTCCATATCTTGGCTACTGCAAATAATGCTGCTGAGAATATAGGGGTGCATATATCTTTCCAAATTAGTGTTTTTGTATTCTTTGGATAAACACCCAGAAGTGAGATAGCTGGATCATATGGTAGTACTGTTAATTTTTTGAGGAATCTCCATACTGTTTTCCATAGTGCCTGCACCAATTTACATTCTGACCAATAATGTAGGAGTGTTCCCTTTTCTCCACATCCTCACCAACACTTGTTATTTGTTGTCTTTTTGATAATAGCCATTCTGACAGGTGTGAAGGTGTGAGGTGATATCTCACTGTGGTTTTCATTTGCATTTCCCTGATAATTAGTGATGTTGAACATCTTTTCATGTACCTGTTGGCCATCTGTATGTTTTCTTTGGAAAAATGTCTATTCAGGTCCTCTGCCCATTTTGTAATCGGATTGTTTGGTTTTTTGAGGCTGAGTTGTATTAGTTTTTTAATATATTTTGGATATTAACCCTTTATGGGATATGTGATTTGCAAATATCTTCTCTCATTTGGTAGGTTGTCTTTTCATTTTATTAATGGTTTCCTTTGCTGTGCAGAAGCTTTTTAGTTTGATGTAGTCCCATTTGTGTTTATTTTTGGTTTTGTTTCCCTTCCCTGAGGAGACCTACCTAGAAAGATAATGCTAAGACCGATGTCAAAGAACATACTGCCAATGTCGTCTTCTAGGAGTTTTATGGTCTCAGGGCCTACATTCAATTAATTTACCCATTTTGAGTTGATTTTTGTGTATGGTGTGAGATTATGGTCCATTTTCATTTTTATGCATGTGGCTGTCCAGTTTTCCCAACACCATTTATTGAAGAGATTCCTTCCCCCACTGTATGTACTTTTGCTCCTTTGTTATAAATTAATTGTTCATTTACGTATGAGTTTATTTCTGATATCTCAATTCTATTTCATTGATTTATGTATCAGTTTTTCTGCAAATACCATGCCGTTTTGATTATTATAGCTGTGTAATATAGTTTGAAATCAGGAAGTATGATACCTCCAGCTTTGTTCTTTTTTCTCATGATTGCTTTGGTTATTTGCGGTCTGTTTTGGTTCCAAATAAATTTTAGAATTCTTTGTTCTATTTCTGTGAAAAATGCCTTTGGGATTTTGATAGGGATGGCAGTGAATCTGTAAATTGCTTTAGGTGATATGGACATTTAAAATTAGGAAGTGTTCCCTCCTCTTCAATTTTTTGGAAGAGTTTGAGAAGGATAGGTATTAAATCCTCTTTGAATGTTTGGTAGAATTCACCTGTGAAGCTCTCTGGTCCTGGACTTTTGTTTTGGGGGGAGGTTTTTGATTACTGTTTCAATCACTTTACTAGTGATCAGTCTATTCAGATTTTCTGTTTCTTCTTGATTCAGTCTTGGAAGGTTGTATGATTCTAAGAACTTGTCCATTTCTTCTGGGTTGTTCAATTTGTTGGCATATAACTGTTTTGTAATATTCTCTTATAAGCCTTAGTATTTCTGTGGTATCTGTTGTTATTTCTCCTCTGCCATTTTTTTTAAAAAAATTATTTTTATTTATTTTGGCTGCCTTGGGTCTTCATTGCTGTGTGCAGGCTTCCTCTAGTTGCAGCAAGCGGGGGCTACTCTTCATTGCAGTGCACGGGCTTCTCGTTGCGGTGGCTTCTCTTGTTGCAGAGCACGGGCTCTAGAGCGCAGGCTCAGTAGTTGTGGCGTGCGGGCTTAGTTGCTCCACGGCATGTGGGATCTTCCCTGACCAGGGATCAAACCCATGTCCCCTGCACTGGCAGGTGGATTCTTAACCACTGCATCACCAGGGAAGTCCCTCCTCTTCCATTTTTGATTTTATTTATCAGAGTCTTCTCTTTTTTTCTTAGTCTTGCCAAAGGTTTCTCAATTTTGTTTATCTTTTCAGAGAACTGGCTCTGTTGGATTGATCTTTTCTATTGTTTTTTGTTTTTAGTCTCTATTTCATTTATTTCTGTTCTGATCTTTATTACTTCCTTCCATTTACTGACTTTGGGCTTCATTTGTTCTTCTTTTTATACTTCCTCTAGATGTAAGATTAAATTATTTATTTGGTATTTTTCTTATTTCTTGAGGTAAGCCTGTATTGCTGTAAACTTCCATCTTAGTACCACATTTTTTTTTTTTTTTTTTTTTTTTTTTTTTTTTTTT